AACATGGAGATATTTCACAAAGAGTCAAAGCAGAGACAATTGTGTCAATAATGAGTGTCCATGAAGACAATCAGGACATTTTAAAATCCTGTCATGAAAAACTCTGGATGAGAAACCTTATGATTCACGCTTTTTGCTCATGATGACAAGGCTAAAAGTCACATGGTCCATTACCGTCAGCAATTAGAAAACTCAACTGCCAGGTCAAAGTGTAGAATCAGTCCAGGACAAACAGTTTTATCTGAGCAATTAACTTTAACCACAGGTTTCACAGCTAAAGAGGAAGTCTGAGTACTGAAGAGGCAAAGGGAGCAATGATTTAAACTATTTCGGTAAAGTATTTATTTCTCATGTGATCAACATGAGGAAGAAAAAAACCAGCATGATCCTTTAACTATTAACACACACTTAAGACAGATTAAAAACCTCTCTAATGATTTCGAAAAACCGCTTTACTAGACTGTAATATGCACAAACCAATTATTAAGGTGTAACGCTGGTGTAAAGCAAATCTTGGGAGACACAGACATCAAATTTCAAATTGCTAATAAAATTCAAATAATCCGTAAACGCAGACAATGTGCCTATAAATACATACAAAAAAAGTATAGACACTTTTTATTGTTGTTTTTAGTTCAATGTTAGGCCCACAGTCTTTTCGAGCCAGTGCACATCTTCTATGTGTTGCGTGTATGTCCTTTTCTGACAGTCACAGGTCACTCCAGACCCAGGACATAGTTGATACCTTGCACAAATCCTATAATAACAGGCTGCCAGGCCACCAAGTACCGAAGCCAGTCCAAAAGTTGTCCATACATGACATGTGGCCTCTCCCACCTAAAACATGGGTTAAGGAAAAACAAAACTTTCAACTTACAATAGGTAATAATAATTTATGCCATTGTAAAATGTCAAGACATGACCGTTTTTAGTTTAAAATATGAAAGCATTATTTAGTTCATAGAGTTGCTGCCTGAGGTGGGAATTCTGAACCACAAAAAGGAACAGGAACTTTGTAAACAACCTTTAAATGCCTCAGCTCTAGTTCCCAACAGTCAGCAAATAAGTTGCTATCACCTGCAAGTTATTGTCTAACTTCTGTTCCAAGAAAAACATCTCTTGTAACTTGGAATAACTGTGTTTACTGAATTTTTATTAGATACCTGTGGCTGGAAATCACTTGCCAAGTTTTATATTTCTGTAAAATACTTCCTGTACCTTTGTCCTCAATGACCTGTGTGTTTTCCTACACTCTGCATGAACAGTGTATATTTATTTATATGATCTCTAGCATTGCATCAAGGGATTATTGAAATGTCAAGTAAAAAAAACAAAAACTGGCAAAGCTCAAGTGAGAAACTAACAATGAACAAGGATACGGGTTACTGAACATCCTCTTCAGATCCACCTTCTCCTTGCAGTAAGGGCACATCTGCTTCTTTCCGACGATACACCATCCTCTTATGCAGAACTCATGGAACCTGGATGTGGAGTTAAGGCTTGGTAAAGGAGTATGAGACCAACAGTTCAAATCAATACACCCCAAATCATTAAAATCAATTAAATTATGCAACAACTTGTTGAATCAATAATGGATTGATAGATCAAAAGATTTACTGATACCATTTCCATCAACTACACAGATCATCCTTCGAGGGTACTTTACTTTACCAAATCACAAAATAATTCTGTTACAGCAACCAAATAGAGTAGAAAAATAAATAACAACTGACAGACTAAACAAAAACTAGAATGAAACAGTTCAGTAGAGATAATTAAAAACTTAAATAACAAAATTAATTCAAACTAATCTGAAAATATATAATGTGCAAAGTTGCACAAACAGACTTCCAACATCCTGTTCAATCCATCTGACAAAGAACTAAGACTATTTTGAGAACAAAGGGAGACCCTCCCCAGTATTAGTTGCATGTACCTAACAAAGCTCTGTGAGCACTAACATGGGAACTGTGATAAACCAATATCAGCCAAAAACATTGGCCTGCTAGCCTGTTGACTTGTGACAAGAAATCACAACATGCAATTCTCTAAGTCTATTTGTATACATGGACTTCAGTTTTTTTCCATTTCGAAATAATTCTATTTACAGTAAGAAAAGGCCTGTTTGAATGTCACAAAAAACGTCCATATAAATAAAGAAACACAGGTATGAAAAACACCCACGATGTGACATTTGATAAGGTGGCATGCTTTTTACAGCGTGAGTGTTTGTGAGCAGCAAAAGATAATATTTGGGGAAGTAATGTAAATTCAGATGGACAGCCGTAACATCAACATTCTGGATTAAACGTCAAGTTAACTCTGAATTTCCCTTTTACTGCTGCACTGACAAAATTCCATTAACCAACCTCCTATAGAAATCAAATTCTTCATGTTGTGCCCCAACTTCTTTTACGATAAATGCAAATAGAGAAACATAATAAAGCAGTAATAGCATAGGAATATGTCAATAACTATAAAGAAGGATACACATGGTTGCAGGATAATCTGTATGTGTTCTCAATAATCCCTTCCTCACTGACGTCTACGAGGATGGGCTGACCGCACACAGCACAGATATTGTCAGAGAGGTGCTTGGTTGGCATGCCGGATGCGCTGTAATACTTAAGAGAAAAAAAGAGAGGGAATGAGACAACAGTGAGTATGATATTTTAACAACAGCGCACAAAAACAGGCAGTGTCTTAATCTGCCCACTTACCCCAACGGTTGAGGCCATGAAGTCTGCACACATTTCTGCAAAGTCCCTCCCCAGGACCCCGTAGTACAGACCGTAGAATAGTAAAGAAACACCAAAGTCCATGGCATCCTCTGGCTTTATCCTGGAGAAAGAAAGCATGGTGTGGAAATCATTTCTCTGACTTATCCTCCTGCAGCAGTGTTCACTGTTAACCTCTGTTTATGTCCGTTTTATATTTGCTGTTTTGCACATGTTAAAATAAGAGTCAAAATCACATTAAAATGTCTTTGACTGTATATACAGAACTTAAAATCAGATAAAGCAGAGAAACACAAGCCTCTTTCTCAAAGCACATAAATTAAATGGAATTTTACAGAAGGAGTGCAAACTTTTTCAACCATGTCTTTCAGGTCAGATACATAAGCTTTATAAAGCTATCCTGTAAAAATATGTCAGTTCTTCAAGTGAATTTGACAATCTAACAGATTCTAGTGACGACAACTGAGGGGCTACTAATGAAATGGATTCAAATTCATTTGAATTCAGAGCTGTGAAAAATGACGTACAAGTATCATTTTCTATTCATTTCATTTGAAACTAGTCAGAAAAACAGATGTAGCAACAGATACAGCTGCCATCAAAGGACAACTGAATCACAATCGTCAAAGTAATTTACCGTAAATAAAAAACGGACTTTGTCCTTAAGACTAAGACTTGACCAGTATAAAAAAACTATTGGAATAGATGGACTAAATACTTCATGAGATGTAACTCACTACTTAAATGTGGCCCATAGCAACTTCTGTTCCCCTTTTTGTTTTTTATTTGATTGTTCTAAAAATACCAATAAAAAGAATAAGTTGACCAATAAAAAGATAATGCCGTTCATTACATTTCCTAAGCACCGGGCAACATCTTCAAATATCAAGTTTTGAATGGCAAACTGTCATTAGAAACAAACACAAGAGCCAGTTGTCATTTCCTTGTCTATGAATGATAAGATCTTAAAGTGACACTGTATTTCTTTAAAATTTATATGTTGACTGTACGTGTCATGTGACCAGAGTTAAAGTCTAAATACATAAACCTGGGGTCATGAAACAGGCAGTACAAGAGTGTTGTTTGTTCTTTCTTTCTGAAAAGTCAGTCAAATTCTATAACCCTTAAGGTGAAGGATTTGGTAAAGAATTTTATTGAGGTGTTGCTTCAATGCATTAACCAGAAAGTAAGCAAACAAACACAGACGTACTAAAGGAAAAAGGTGAGCAATACACCTATTGATTGGATATTCAGATGAATGATAAAGCGAGTCTGATATTGAAATGGAAAAGGAGTTTTAAGTTAGAAAAGATGGTTACTCTTCTCAAGAGCAACCTAGAGTTTATTTTAGGGGTTTAACAGGTAATGTCCCCTCATTTATTTGAGCAAATATGTAGTTGTATTATAGAAAAAGACAGAAAAGGTTAAAAAGTTCATTTAAATGCTGTGGACCTGACAATACATACCTGAAAATTAGGTTGATACCAAAAAGTGTAAACATGATGACACTGTAACCAACTATTCCTGTAGCATAGCTGATTTTGTAGAGAAGGAGAAACCACTTATACACCAACCTACAGAAGCCAGAAAAGGACATTTGTCAGGTAATGCCATAAAATGGTTATTGCCCGTTCAATCCTTGTAAATGGAAAAGTTCAGATCTCTTAGTTTGCAGGTTATAGTGAAGTGCAAACGATATAGTTATACCTCGGTGTGGTGCAGGCCAGTGGCTTGCGAGTGGCACGGTAGGAAATGTAGGCTGTGATGACAGAGAAGATAAACCAGGTGGTCAGGAACCTCCACCAGTGGAGTTTGGTAGTAAAGTAGAGAGGAACTACCCACATCTGGAACAGAGTCACCAGCTACAAGACCGCAGAGCATTCAGGTTAGAATGTGTGTGAACATCAGAGATAGACATCACGTCAACATGAAAACAGACACTACTGACAGCATTTCATATATGGAGAGAATGGGGCAAGATTGAAAATACAATATTTGTCTTTAACTGAGAAAACGTGTATGATACAGTCATGAATCATGATAGCAACAAAGATGTTTGAGGGACAACACTGTGAGTACAGGTTCTTTTGTCCCTAACTCCATTATAAACAAACTCAAACCCACATAGCTGACACACAAACTGTGTCTGTGTCCAAAACAGAAGCATGTCTTTTAAGGATGTCTTCACATGAGGGTATTTCCAAACTTTGCCAACACAACTTAAAACATTTAGACTGTGTGACTTTTGTGTCTTACATTGTATGACTTTGTATGTCTCTGTTTCCACTGCACAAGGACTAGCTGGGCGACGACCAGGGTGACAATGAGGATGAGCACCATCTCTGCATGCATGGCCTCATGGCCTTTGTGTTTGGCGTGCATTCTTGCATGCTCCACCCTGTGGAAGAAGAAAAAGAGGAAGAGCGTGTGTAATGTTTGTTATGTTGCCAAGTGCCACATGATTTGATGATTCAATAACATTGCAGGACAGGCGTGCTTGAAAAACTGTATTAGACATCTTACACACTGGTGACTCCCGATGGTAATGACTGAGAACTGTTTGAAAAGGTGTACTGAGATAATGAGCAGTTTCTCTGGGCAGAACTGTAGCCTACATTCTCATTCACTTTGTGGTTTAGTAATGTGTGAGTACCAAAAAACAACCTCTTTTAACCCAATCCAAAAACCTTCAATTGGAATATAAAAAATATAAGGGATTTAAAAAAACATTTAGCAAGAAAGAAATGGAGAATGTTACCAAAATAAATCCATCAAATGTATTATAGAGACACTTACCTCCACTTTTCTTCTGGTGAGAGCTTGGACAAGTCAATCTAAAGGCAGAGAGGGACAAATGAATGACTTTTATCTTTAATACTACTTAAATGTGCCCGAGCAGAGTACATTGTAAGAATCGCATTTGATCAAAGACAATATTGTTGAACTTCTAAGCAAGATTCATTGCTGAATTGCAGTAAGGAGAGAGATATAATGGGAGACAACAAGACCGTCACAGTAGATTAAGGAAGCTGAGCATTACCTCTCACACAGTTGGCTTCAAACACCTAGATCTTACATTGCATACCAATTAAACATCAGCTTAAGTACAATCTGACTTAAAACATTTTGATTTGGTTGTGCCAGAAATGGAAATGTTTGTGTGTGTCAAAGCTGGGTTCACCACATTTGCTAAAATCACACTTCCTGCTGTACACACTGGCAACAGTTTCCGTTTCATTGAATATGTCATGTGTGTGAAAAACAAACTTTATTCAGTGTCACTCATCAGATCAGAACATCAGTAAGAGTTTACATCATGACACAGGAGAGAAACAGGTTATCAGAGCACACAAGGCCCAACAGAGATCATCACTGGACCTGTGACATCTACTCTGCAGTACATGCACTAACTACGCCTCACACGTATGAGCACACAGGATCCTTAATGACCCGTCACACATTCTATCTTCTGAATTTGACCGGTAACCTTCAGGCAGATGTTACAGAGCCAATAAGTGGAAGATCAACCCCCTCAAGCTCTCATTCATCCCAACGTCTACCACACTACTCAATAAGGACACATGTTGATTCGACCATGTATCTTAACAACCTTTGCACTGTGACTGGCACATTTTACACTCTGTTTTTTAGGTTAATACCAGTTTTTGTTTTTCATCTTTTATCCATTATATCCTTTTAGTGTATTAACTTTTTTTGAGGGCAGGTGCAATAATCAACTCACTTTTATTCTGCATTATTATTCTGGGTCTAACATGATATATTTGTGTGTAGTGTTTTTTATTGTTTGTTACTCAATGTACAGTTCTCTCAACAAAAATGTCCCCACGGGGACAATAAAGTACATTTGATTTGAATGATCCCTAGTTTTCCTTGCACTTTGTGAGCACCTGCTCTAACATCTTGTCAACATTTACACGTTTGTGATACCACAATCTTGAAATCCTACAGGAAGTGGTTAGGGTAGCTCTCCTGGCTTGACACTGGCAAACCTTTTAGCCCTGGGCACAGAGAAGCCCATAGATGACCTTTGACCCGATGGGCCACATCATCATTATTCAAAGGGACATTTATCCTCATGGCAGTATGAACGGTGTTTGAGTCAGCTAAATACATGCACATTTTATTACATGTTAGCTACTTTGACCAGATAAAAACATGACAGGTTAGCCAGTTAGCTAGTTTGGCGATGCTAAATGACATGTCCCTGCTGCTTTGTAAGCACGGCTCTTTTAGCTGAACCAAACACACACAGTGTGGTTACCTGTGGACCCTGCCTCTGCTTAGTGACAGATGGCTGTGTGGCAGATGCTAGCTGCTTACGCTATGCTAAACCCGTGTGTAGCAACTAGCACGAGAGTTCCGTGTGTGGCAGCTAGCAGCCACACAATGAACTCAACCCCGACGGGTTTTATCGGCCGCAACACGTCGGTGTTTCCCGTCCCTCTCTCACCTGGTGCGGTTCATCGTGGTGCCCATGTCCGTGGTCGTGCTCCACGCCATCAACCTCCACCTCAAACACCCCTGCCATCGTCGGAGTGCTGCTTCACCCTTCTGCGGCCATTAGCATTAGCGTCAAACCGGTACTGTTTGGCTCGCTTCCCTGCCCTTTCAAAATAAAGTTCGGAGGTAATGTAGGTCAAATATTGAGCCTGTGACAGAATGAGTTCATCGCAGGATGTTTGAAGTCATTTGTTTATGACAACAAAAAAACAGTCCGAGAAAGTGTGTTGGGACATTTCCACACAACATGCTTGTGAGGATGTAAAAGAGGAAAATGATGAATGACACTGATGGAAGAAGTACTCCGATCTTTTACCAAACACAACAATACAACAGTGTGAAAATACGCACATAAAAGTACAGTACGATTTATTGATCAATGGTCTTTATTTTATCATATATTTTAAAGGTATGAATATAATGTTACAGCTGGTAAACAAAAGAAAACGTAGGATACTGCCAGGTAGTTTAATCTATAGTAATACATCATAGATATATGTAAACATATGAATACATGTAGTAAATACACTATGTACAAGAATGGTACGTGAAATGAAATGCAGAGCATGAAATAGAAGCAAAAAACATTTTATCCGCTCGCATTATTCAGTGTTCTGAATCACTTGGGATACCGATTTTTAAAATCACTCAATAATTCAAAAACTAAATATGCTAAAATCTTCCTATTGCCTGTAATGGAAAATCATTATGTACAAATCATCATACATTCTGCTGCCATTGTGAAGCATCTTCTTGTGTGATTTTGAAAAGTTATCTTTAAATAAAGTTTAAAATTATTATTATTATTATTGTTTTTCTCCTACTTTTCTCCTAACATATTTCCATTTATGATTTACTTTTCTCAAATGTGCAACTCTATCTTTCTGAAGTGGCACTAAAACCGATGATTTATTATGATTGTATTACTTTAACATCCACAGATATTTATATTCTACACTTTGTGTATTTCATTGATTTCAAATGCATTACTGTAACTATCTGCCACAGCTTCCCTTGTGATGACAATAACACATGTGGATGTAAGTTATAAACTGCACCACAAACAGTATAAGAAGCTCAGTCCTGTTGCGGAACCGAAACACAATGATTATATTTGACAACAGAAGCAGCTGTTAGGAAGCAGCCCGCCAGATTTGGACCGGAAAAGAGACCGGAGGTTGGACATGTCTCAAGCGCTGGCTCGTGATTGGCTCACAGGTCTGCGGGGCTCTCCTGTGATTGGCTGAGCCGCTGACACAAAGCAGTGTAACTGGCTGGAGGCTCGTTGGCGCCTCAGTTTGAGATTCAGCTCCGTTCCTCGACGGTTCTTACGGTGTCATAACCCGCGGAAAACCAGCTCATTCACCTGTTTCCAGAGAAAAACACACCGTGTGACCACAAGCCGCTCTGCTGCCACCATGCACGTCATTAAACGAGGTATTGTCACTCATTTTACTGCTTTTCTGGTGAAATCATACACGATTGTGCAACAGCAGGGTGCGGGAGATGTGCAGACAAATTACTAAAACGCATCTGGGCTCTGATCAAAGTGAAGGGTGTGAAGAAGTGTAAGACTTCATGTGGACTTCAGCTCAGTTTCACTCATTTAAAATGTGTGTTCTGTTGTTTCTTTGCGCGGCGCGTTTACGACGAGACAAACAAAGAAGTAGGACACATACTTGCTGTACATACTTGTTTTATCTCTTTTTGAAATACCATAATAAGCTGCAGCACAGCAGAGACTTTCACATCTCGTCTTCCCTGTGCATTTATATCAAATTCAACTTTTTCACACGCTTCGCTGCAGCAGTGATGTGACAGAGGAGGCTTGTCATCAGCAGTGACAGGTCTTGTTATGGCGCGAAGCAGCGGAGGGGTTTCCTTTTGTTGCCATGATAACTGTCAGACAGGTGTTCAGTGGGGCTGTGGGATGTGTTCACAGCTGCCACCGTAACCATCAATGTTCACCAGGCTTCACCATGTCTCATAAGAGGAACACAATGCTGTTGTTTGGGTTTCAGATGGTCGCCAGGAGGGAGTCACCTTTGATAAAATCACCTCTCGTATTCAGAAGCTTTGCTATGGACTCAACTCTGACTTTGTGGACCCTGTAAGTTCCAAACACTTTAAAATGCTATATGCTGTATATATATATATGTGTGTGTGTGTGTGTATACATACATACATATATGAATGTATAGAAATGGGTATAAATGTAAATAAACAGTAACATACTAAATAGCAGTATATGCTGTTTAGTATAACTATATAAAGATGTATATATATTCATACATAGATCTGCGTATACTCATGAATATATATATATGGCTGCTATATATTCACAATAGAACAATGTGATATAAATATAAAATCGTATGCAAGTAGCCTATATATTTACACACACACATATATATGCAAGTAAAATTAAATTATTTAAGTTGAATTTTCACAATAGGAGGTACACATGAGGAAACCCTTTGTCTCTGCTCCTGCAGACCCAGATTACCATGAGGGTGATCCAGGGTCTTTACAGCGGAGTCACCACCGTGGAGCTGGACACCCTGGCAGCAGAGACCGCCGCCACCCTCACCACTAAACACCCTGACTACGCAATCCTGGCCGCACGAATAGCTGTGTCAAACCTGCACAAGGAGACCAAGAAAGTGTTCAGTGGTGAGTAAAAGTGTTACGCTAGCATTGACAGAAGTACTGCTTGATGACAAACTGAGTGGTTTGTGTGATTACAATTGCATTTAAATAAATAACACCAGCGATGCCTTACAATGAGGCCCTGTGGTGCAACATTTCTGGCAAATGACACATTGTGGTGGAAGGTTGCACAGTGTTTTTTTTCCCCTCAGGAAAATGCCTATTCTGGGCAGTAAGCCACCCATATCATGACACATCTAATCTTGCCCATGACTTTACTTAGAAGATGACAGCCATTTATGCATGGTGTTTGCTGTGAGAATTCATTTTAATCTTTTCTTTAAAATTTAATTAAGTTTTGGTTTAATTTCAATACAATGTAAATGTTTTAATATGTTAGAAGGTGTGTTTTTTTTGTCTTTTGCTATAAAACAGTGCAGGAAACCCTGTCTTGATTCATTGTACACTATAAAAGTGATGAAATCATTACTATTTTTACACTTTCTTTCCCTTTTCTCTTTTGCAGATGTGATGGAAGACCTGTACAACTATGTCAACCCATTAAATAGACGCCATTCTCCCATGATCTCCAAGGAGACACTCGACATTGTCCTTGACAACAAGAATGTACGTCACCGTTGACGATATATTTGATCATGTTTTGTTTTATTCTTGAATTAAGTTTTGCATTTCTTAACATAATTTCCACTTTTTTTCTTTGCAGCGCCTCAACTCAGCCATCATTTTCGACAGAGACTTCACTTACAATTTCTTTGGATTTAAGGTAATTACAAATTTTCACTAGCCATACATTAAACATCTCACTCAGATGACTTTGGCATATGAATCTTACTTGTTCTTTTTCTCTTATAGACTCTTGAGAGGTCATATTTGTTGAAGATCAATGGCAAAGGTGTGAGTCGATTTTTTTTTTTTTTTTCTTGCTACAACTCCAGAAGCTTATCTTTTGTTGTTTAGATTTGTTAAGATGAGTCAGTTGTGTGTTTGATTGGTAATTAAGTTCTCTCCCTGCAGTTGCTGAGAGACCCCAGCACATGCTAATGAGAGTGGCCGTCGGGATTCATAAAGGAGACATCGATGCAGCCATTGAGACATACAACTTGCTGTCAGAAAAGTGGTTCACCCACGCCTCACCTACACTGTTCAATGCCGGCACCAACAGACCACAGCTGTCCAGGTAAATAAAGAAAAATGTTGCTCTGAACAAATTTAACCAAAATGTCTCAAACTTGATTTTTGTTACTAATACTTGTTTCTTTTTTTGCAGTTGTTTCCTGCTAGCCATGAAGGATGACAGCATAGATGGTATTTACGACACACTGAAGCAGTGCGCTCTCATCTCCAAATCAGCTGGAGGCATTGGATTGGCAGTCAGCTGTATCCGAGCAACAGGCAGCTACATTGCTGGGGTGAGGAAAATAAACATTGCAAAATATTGTATTAACAGAGGAGCTTAAATTTAATATGATTTAAACTGGTGTGTGTATTTCAGACAAATGGCAACTCCAACGGGCTTGTTCCCATGCTTCGAGTGTACAACAACACGGCACGTTACGTCGACCAGGGAGGCAACAAGGTAAGATCAGAGATTTACACACAAATGTTGTTGACGTTGTTACTGGAGAGAAGCATTTTTTTGGGTGTATTTTCAGTATATTTTTGGGGCTTTTATGGCCTCTAATTTTTGAAAGGAAGGAGAGCAAGCTGTGAGGGGGGGACAGAAAGAGAGTGGGGGACGACATGCAGCAAAGGGCCACGGGTTGGAACCGAACCCGGGCCACTGCGGTTGAGGCACTCCCTCGTTGGGACAGCGGCATTTTTTAATCACCCTACTCTTTGTGTTTGCCCATTCAGAGACCCGGGGCCTTCGCCGTGTACCTGGAGCCCTGGCATTTCGACGTGTTTGAGTTCTTAGAGTTGAAGAAGAACACAGGTAAAGAGGAGCAGAGGGCCAGAGACCTGTTCTTTGCCATGTGGATCCCAGACCTCTTCATGAAACGAGTGGAAAGCAATCGGGTGAATATTGGAAGCATTTACTGCCCTAACTTAAATCCTGCATATGTATCGATCGTAGTAGTCAACATTCTACTTCATGTTTCCTAAGTCTTATCGGTCTGCTGATATCCTTGTAGGACTGGTCTCTGATGTGCCCCAGTGAATGTCCTGGGTTGGAGGAGTGCTGGGGAGAGAAGTTCGAGGAGCTCTACACAAGGTGAATTGGAACCACCAAACCTCATTCTCAACAAAGGACTCATTTCCCAGCATTAACTTGTCTCATGATTGTCCTCAGATACGAGAAGGAGGGCAGGGCTAAGCGTGTGGTGAAGGCTCAGCAGCTGTGGCATGCCATCATCGAGTCACAGACAGAAACGGGAACACCATACATGCTCTACAAGGACGCCTGCAACAGGAAGAGCAACCAGCAGAATCTGGGCACCATCAAATCCAGCAATCTGTGCACAGAGATAGTGGAGTACACAAGCAAAGATGAGGTGAGGGGGTGAAGATATCATACTGGTACCAAGTCAAGAAGAACCAGTATGGTTTTTGGGGAGGGTCAATGTCGATATATTTGCCGTTGCTTATATTTGAAAAAAAAAAAGTAATTATTTTCTAAAGGCTTATTTATACTGACTTTATGTATGAAAGAAACAATGTAAGCATCATTTCTCACCTTTACGTGAGCATGGTTGTTAAACAAAGCATCCACTGGAGGGCAGTGCAGTGTGGAGAGTCAACTGACACAACAACATATATGGCAATAATGGAGATTTTGTCATAGTGTACCTCTTAAGAAAGAGATGTCTGTTTCCTACCAACTCACTAAGTCTCTTTAAAAAGTCCTGCCCTTGTCGAAACTTCCTCTTTTTGTTTCTCGTGAACTATAACATGTCAGTCCAGCTCCTTCTGTAAGCTTCATTTGAGCAGCAACATTATTTTGTCAGTTTTTCTTTAAAAAATCAATTTGTTCTTTCTTCAGGTTGCCGTGTGTAACCTGGCATCCATTGCACTCAACATGTACGTCACCCCAGAGAGAACATTCGACTTCAAAAAACTTGCTTCCGTCACCAAAGTCATCGTTAAAAACCTGAACAAGATTATTGACATCAACTACTACCCAGTGCCTGAGGTAAGCTCCCTTGTCTCGTGTTGCATCTTGATCGACCGTGCAGCCCAGCCGTGTGTGCTCAGTCTTAACAAACGGACCCTCTGTCCTGCCTTACAGGCTGAAAGGTCCAACAGGCGTCACAGGCCAATTGGAATCGGAGTGCAGGGTCTGGCTGATGCCTTCATCCTTATGCGTTATCCGTTTGAAAGCCCAGAGGCCCAGCTACTCAACATTCAGATCTTTGAGACCATCTACTACGCTGCCCTGGAGGCCAGCTGTGAGCTCGCAGAGGAGTTTGGCACTTATGAAACCTACGCCGGCTCTCCTGTCAGCAAGGGAGTGAGTAGCTTTCACGATGTCTCAAATCCAACATGTGGTAGAGCTTCTTCGTTTTGGCTCAGGTTGTAATTGTCTTCTTTCTTGTTCCTTTGTTTTCTAGATTCTTCAGTATGACATGTGGGATAAAGTCCCAACAGATTTATTGGACTGGAAGGCATTGAAGGAGAAAATCGCTAAGTAAGTTTTCCTGAGTGTCCTCATTGTTCTCGATGTCTCTCATGTCATATGTGCTGTATGTTGAGATCATAGCTCATCTCTGACTTGCAACCCCCCTTGTTTCTGTATGTCCACAGGCATGGCATTAGGAACAGTCTGCTCTTGGCCCCCATGCCTACAGCTTCCACTGCCCAGATCCTGGGCAACAATGAGTCTATTGAGCCGTACACCAGCAACATCTACACCCGCAGGGTTCTTTCTGGAGAGTTTCAGGTCAGCACTGAATCCATCCGCTGCTTTCAGCCTCTAAAGTCATGTGTCATAGAGGGGGGAGTTGCTGAGTGTCATTTCTGCATCTCCTATAGATTGTGAATCCTCACCTGCTGAAGGACCTCACAGAAAGAGGACTGTGGAGTGACGTAATGAAGAACCAGCTGATTGCTCAGAACGGCTCCATCCAGGTAATAAAACCGTATCTAATTATATAATTCATATCACTCTTATACATGTTCTAATGTTTCAAGCCTAAGCAAGTTATTTTATGTCTGACTTGTCCACAGGACATTGAAGAGATCCCTGATGATCTGAAGCAGCTCTATAAAACTGTGTGGGAAGTCTCCCAAAAAACCATCCTCAAGATGGCAGCAGACCGTGGTGCCTACATTGACCAGAGCCAGTCGCTTAACATCCACATTGCTGAGCCAAACTATGGCAAACTGACCAGCATGCACTTTTACGGTTGGAAGTTGGTAAGTCAGGCCTGAGGGGATGCAGGCTTGATGAATGATGAGTCACAGGGCCAAGAACAAACATCTTTAACCTTATATTCTTGTCTCTGCAGGGCCTGAAAACCGGCATGTATTACCTGCGGACGAAGCCCGCTGCCAACCCCATTCAGTTCACCCTGAACAAGGAGAAATTAAAGGAGGCTCAACCAGCCAAGAGTACGGAAGAGGAGGAGGCGGCGAAGGAGGCCAAGGAGCGCAACACCGCTGCTATGGTGTGTTCGTTAGCAAACAGAGACGAATGTCTGATGTGCGGCTCCTAAGAGAAGTGTTCACTCATCCAGCCACACTCCCATTTAAAAAGCCTTTTTTATTTGTATATGATGCCATAATAACATGTTTTACATATGCCACTGTCTTCATCACACATATTTACAGTTTTTATTTAATATGTGCTGGTTTTTCATCGTGAGGTGTATGTTGTATGTACAGAATCAACAGGTTGCATTGAGGTGATGAACTGGTCACCCTTGTTTTTTATATAGCTTTATAGTATATGGGTCACAATAATGAACTGCCTGGTGGTCTGTGTTTGTTATAAATAAATTTTGTTTTGTTATATGACGATGTTAATCTAAGTCTCATTATTAAATTGGCCAAAATATAATTTATCTGTCAGAATCAAAGTATTTATACATCCATCCATCATCTATACCGCTTATTCTGTATGTATATATTCTTAATGTTATTATGCATGTATAGACGTACATTTATTTTACCAATAACTATCGTTAAAAAAAAAAATCTACATAGATAATTTACTAACTAAGGCTGGTGCTGATCTGTATTTCTTTTATTCGGAAATTAGAGGCAGGGAAGTGTCTTTCTCCAGGGACATTCTAACAACTGCTATAACAGGATAGTGAGTGATCTGCTGGTGATACAACATGCCACTACAATATGGACAAAATTTGGTCGATGGTTTGCGTTGGTGTGTGTTTCAACTCAACTGGCATTTTGGGACGAAAGAACAGGCCAACAACCCCCCAAAAGAAGGTTGAAACGGTGATGACATCAGTCGTGCAATACCGCTGAGAGCCACAATGTTTTTCCAATGGAAGAGTCTGGATACAGTGTGCGCCCCAGGGGCACGAGAGACCGCAGGCCATTAAGCAAATTAACTGGTGTGTTCATGCGTGCAACCTCATGGGAGACGTGTGTGTGAAGCAAGCTGAGACCTGCACTGTCACACTATAGCACCAGGTGTTGATACACTGAGGCAATATTAATTCATAACCTCAGTCATCACAGATGCAACATTCTCCCAAAAACGGAGTCAGTGAGACACAGAGTCCATTTTAAAGTATTTATTTGTTTAACAAAGACACTTCACTGCTAAACCTCAATGGAACAATAGTTTATTTTCATGTGATATCTGAACGTCATATAAAAACAAACCAGAGAGACTGACACAGAATCTTTGCTATTTAACAGTGAAGGTGTGGCAGTGAGGAGGAGAGAGGCCCAGTGTAACTGAGCAGTGCAACTACGACATGTGATGGACTGATCTGAATATTAAACTATGTTTTGCAGTTACTGTTGGTGGCTGCTTAAAATGTGAGTTTTTCCCAGTAATAAGGCACCGAAACCCTACTTTACTTGGTACTAATGTTAATGGAGTTGAACTGGTGCATCTGCTATGAGCTAATCTCGTCAGGCTCCTGAACTTCAGGGGTGCACTGACTTTTTTTTAAGAGTTAAAACCATTGATCATTTAAAGAGGACTGGCGTCATCTCTTTCTTGGTATGTAATTACACGAGACAAGCACTATTGACACCATAGTGGTATGAAATCTCTATTTTTATGACTAAATCTGATTGTCATATTTAGATGAGAAGGCCTGTGAAGTGAACTTTTAAGATGAAAGAAAAAGGTTTGAAGGTTTTCTGCATCAGTAACGTAACTAAGAATCCAGAAAACTACAGAGTTTAACTTTTCTTGTCACACAAGATGACAAATGTGCAGATTAGATTATAAAATGCAAAAGATACTTCATTTGCAGATATTTAGTTTTCTAGAAACCTTTTCCAGGATCACAAGAGTTCAAGGGGAAATTTTGACGAATCTAAAACAGTCAATGAGAGGGGTTGAGGTGCAGTCAATATATTTGGTCTATAGCTGCTGAAAAACGTAGAAATAAAATCACCACCTTTAGGCCCGTCACTACGAGAGTTGAGATGAAAGAGCTTCAGGGGGAAAAAAACAAACTGCTGCTGTCTGTTGAAGTCACATATCTCCCTGCAGTCAGTGTTAATTTGTGCAGCCGAAGCACAAACCTCTCCACAAATATTGGATAAGGTGACAAAAAAAGGCCCAACCCTGAAAAAGTCAGCCTGATCTTTGAACTGGGACGTCACTAAGGTTACGGTGTCACTAGCGACCCATCGATGGATCCCTCCCCTTCCTGTGAACCAAAGCCTGTGTCCTGGGAGCTGTTACTGCCCGACGGCGAGGGAATGGTTTTCTTCGCGCTGGGTTTGTCGTTGCCCTCCCTGACGCCAGACTTCTCTGTTGCCTTGTGCTCGAACTTTATATCCTTCACCCATCTCACCTCTGCTTTTTTTTCTTGCAGCTCTATGTCTTTCAACTTGTTTACAATTTTTTTTATGTCTGTCTTCTCATTACTGACTGGGACACTCTCAGCTTGTCCAGCAGTGGCCTCTCTGAGTCTCTCTGCATCCCTTATTTTCTCCGCCTCATCCTTTGTGGCCTCACCTTTCGCCTTTACTTCAACATTATTTAAACTGGTCCCTGCCGTCCCCTCCCTTTTCACTTTAATGTCAGTGTTTTCATTTTTTTCTGCTTCCAAATGCTCTGTTTTCTCAGTTTGCCTCTCATCTCTCCACTCTACTTTAACTCTGCCTTCCTCCATTTTCACTACTTCACAGTCTGCCACCAGCTTCGATCCCTCCGCGCCACATTTTCCCACCTGATTCTGCTGCGTGTCTGTCTCCTGTTTTGTGTCTGAGTCAACTTTTCTTTTATCCCCCTCTTCCTGGTGCACTGTCACTTTAGGTGATGTGTTTTTGTCCTCTTGTCTGCAGTTAAAACCTCTGAAATTGTTCCTGGCACCATTGATGTATTTCCCCAGTATGGAGGAGCCCTCCTTTGTCATCACTGGATCACTTGCAAAGTGTTCGTCCTCCATCAGCAGCTGCTGAATCCCCTTAATGTCACCGTGCATCCTGCAGATCGCTTTGTTTAGCTCAGTGATGCGATTACCGATGTCTGGGGGAAGAGGAGACACAACACAATCACAACACAGCATCAAAACATTTGAGGAGGTTATGTTTTCACCTTTTATTCCTTATTTATTTGTTTGTTTCTAAGCAAGATAACACAAAAAATACTGGACATATTACCTTACAACCTGATAAAAGCGGCAAAATAAAACAAGGAAGAACCCTTCGAATTTTGGTGTGGATCCGGGAATTTAGTTTTTACTTTCTTTAATGTAGAGATCTGGTGATTTTCAACATTTTCTCCTCAAAGAATAATTCATGGATGAATCAGACATGATTTAGGGGACTGATATTTTTGAATGTGTGTAATTTGGTGCAGATCCAATGAGGGGACAGTTGGGCCTTGGCAGAGACATGCACTCTACTGAGGGACATTCTAGTTTAAACATTCCTAAAACATCATGTCTAACTTATTATTTGAATTTTTAAAATGTGACAATCAAAGCTGTTTTCTTCTTCTATGAAATCCAATGACTGACTCTCTCAAGCTGCATATTTAAAAAAAAAACAGGGTTTACAAAGGAGCACCAGGGTGTTAAATATTACTACAAATTCATATTTTTCTAAATGACACTAATTCAAGACAGTGAATACTATAATATTCATATCATTTATAGAGATGAGAGTAGGGGAGGCGTGCAGAAGTAAACTTAATGTGTGAGCTGACAGGAAGGTTTATTTCATGACTAAGTGTTCAGCCCTGACAGACTGATGCCAGTGTCACCGCTACCTTTCCTCTTGGCCTCCTCAAACTCTCTTCGAGCCGACTCGATGTAGCGCTGCACCAGAGCCCTGATCACTTGCTGCCGGTATGGTAACTGGGTCTCCTCAGATCCCTTGTCATTGGACTTATTACATGAAACAGAAACCATGTTTATAATCACACACGGTTGCGTAGGGTATGATTGCCAAATGAATTTGTAGCCTGAAATATATTACTCCTACTACATTCGACACACTCACGCTAGAGACTATAGGGGGATATTTCTGTACAGAATTACAGGTGCAGCAGCAGCAGATTCTTCTGAAGATACCCCTGGAAGAGAATTTAAACTGAGTGAATGGAAAAAACTCCAAAACAGAGAGATCTGTTCATGCAGATTTTCTGAAGTTTTAGAACCCACCTCAAGATGTAGAAGACAGCTTTGGGTGAGGGGATGATGTTGAAGGGCACAGGCATGGTGAGGCCCTCTCTGAAGTAACTGAGGTACAGCTTTGACCGGGCAAACTTCCACTCAACATCTGCATCATCCTGAGATTAACAATGAGATGTTAGAGATCATCAGAGGAGGTTCTGTTTGCCTTTTATTGCAAATGTGACATAAAAAAATTATTCTTCACCTCAATTTTCTGAAAAGAGTTGGTGATCATAGCAATGAGCATATTGAGCAGGACGATGACGATGACGAGCGTGAAGATGCCGTAGAGAATCCTCCCGACAAACTCTGCCAACACAAACTGTGGCATGTCCACGTAGTCCTGGTTGGCCACACCGAACATGGTCCAGAATAAGAAGTGGAACGTCTCATTAAACCTGCAGTGGAGAAGGTTTTCATGATGAGTCTAAAACCTGGATCTATCCCTTTATTTAAACATCCACGGTCAATGTCGGGACAAACAGTCGGGCATGACGTCTGTATTTACAGTTTTTGGAACTCCTGGTACCACCCTCATATGAGAGTAGAAAGCACTTCATGCAACTCATGGAAAATAGTCACTTGAGCACATCGAACAGCTCCTTAAAAAAATGCATATTCAGCTGTCCTTATTCTGTCAATGTGAGCTCATTACTATGGGCTCAGAGATCAATAAAATTCAATAAAAATTGTATTTGTATAGCCCATATTAAAAAATCTCAATTTACCATATCAAGATGCTTAATCAGCAGATTCTTACTTGCCAAGATGTGGAGAGATGACATAAGGAACATAGATGTTGTTGATGCCACAGAGGAAGGCTGTTCCAATGATCATCAGAATGAACATGAATCTACAAAAGAAAAAATATATATTCTCACTGGCTTTGGTGGCTTATCATGTGTTCTGACTTGCCCTCCAGGCACAGATCACATAAATAAAGTTGTGTATAATGCAGGAGGCAAAATGAAAAATGCTTGGACCTCATCATGTCATCAATCATCTTTCCTATGGAGATCTGTAGAGTTCCCAGAGACTCGTGGGCTGGCAGGATGTAGGCCAGCCGTGTGAAGCTAAACATGCTGGTGACTGCAAACAGCACCTCTGCAATCAGCTGGGGGTCCTCCTGATGCCAGTCCTTACGCACTGAGGGACAGTTTCACATAGCAACAGATTTGCTGAGCATTTAATTTAAAAAGACCCACCAACAGTCAATTTGGACAAAATGCATGACAGGATGTTCTCACCAGTCTGGGTGAAATAAACACACTCCTCTGTGCCGCTGAGTTCATGGCAGAGGAAGTAGCCTTTGAGCATGATGAGCACACGTAAAGCGAAGGACGCCAGGTACATGCTGAGCACCATCATGTCCAAGCAGTTCCACCAATCCAGGAAGTAACTCCGCAGCCCCTCGATCCACACTTCCTTACACTCGTACCAGAAGAATCCTGCATGTGACGGCACAGAATGATTTAGAAACCTTTTCATGAGCGCCATCACCAGACTGAGGTAACACAGAGAGAGTGAACGTACCAACCACCCACACCATGTGGAAGGAGCTGTGCAGGATGTTCTGCTGCCTGGAGGCAAATTTGTCTCGATACATCTCCATTGTTATCGACTCTCCGAGTAATGTAATGAGAAACCACAGATATGAAGCAGAGTGGAGGAGGAACTTGATCACAGGAATCCTCAGGATCTTTCCTAACTGGTGAAAACACAGCAGCGGGTGTTAGCTTCCTGTTTCCGTGTTGCATATTTATCAGAAACATCTACATTTGGAGATTTCTGTGCCATGTGACCTTTGATTTTGGTGCAATCCAGTAGATGAGGCAGAGGAACGGCATGGTGAGAAAGATCCCCACAGAGACAAACAGCTTCCAGACAGTCCTGCTGCCTCTCCATCCTTCCAGGTTCCCACACCAGATCGATGAGAGCACCTGCTGACAGATTGGGTGTGCCACAAACTGCAGGAAAACAGAGAGGGAGAGAGATATTACGGATCGAGTATATGTCTTTTTTTGACTCGTTTCAGTCTGTGCATACCTGCTTCTGGTTGTAGTTAACAGCAAGCCGCAGTCGTGACAGGTTGGGTATCCCCTCCTCGAAGGCCTGCTGATTTAAGGCATCCTGGCTCTCGTCTCCACAGCTGTTGAGTATCGTGGTCACCTCGCTCTGGTTGCGACACATGCCCAGTAACTCAACGGCAAAATCCTGACAGAGCTGCTCCAGGTCCAGGTACTGAGGCTGCAGGAGAGAGGCACCACAGCCAAAGTCAAGCAACAACAAACATGAGTTAAACAGTAAGCTGGGATATCGAGGAACGTCGTCACACCTTAAACTCAGGCTCTTTTTGTGAGAGCTTGCGGAGCTCTCTGCTGAGACTGAAAGCGGTGAGCATGGCATCGTCGGAGGTGATGGACAAGAAGGCTCGGCTGGCAATTCCACGGTAGGTGTTGATACGAGACAAGGAGAACTTCAGCAGGTCGTACTGCCGCCCGTTACGACACTCCAGACAGGCGCAGGAGATCTTATGTGGCCACTGGATGATGTGGCCTTTTAGGGTGAGCATGGTCACTATGTCATACAGGTCTTTCTGGCAGGCTAAAGTCAGAGGAGTCACACCGGGGGCAAACTGGGAGTTGTCAATGGAGTGGTCAAAGATGGCCTGAGAGAAGGAGCGCACATCCATCTTGTTGCCTTTCTCTTGGTCTAGCCGGTCCAGCAGGCGCTTCACCACTCTGGGCTGGTTGGTGTCCACGGCGACCAGCAAAGCCTCGTGAATCTGACGGAAGTCGAACTTGACCCCCTGCAGGAGGGCGTCCATGGCGTCTTCATTTCCAAGGCGGATGGACAGGTTGAGGGCCTCTCTCCACTGGCGGTCCTCGGATTCGTCCAGCTGGCGGATGATGCCATCGCCAGTTTTCAGCAGTCCACACAGAAGCTCGATTTTCCCTTCCTGAATGGCACCGATGAGCTCCGGGGGGAACTGCATCTTCTTGTTCATAATCTCGCGCCATTGCTCTGGCTGAGAAGCAGAACAGGTCAGTCAGCAGCAGCAGTAGAAATGCATTCATTCATCTTTATGGGATGAATGAAAACAGGGAAAAGGGGCAGCTCACAATTTGATTTTGTAAAGCAAAACTAACTCTGGATTAAATGTTGTATACCACATATTTAAGATGGTTTCTTGACTGGGGACATTTTAAGATATCAAGGAAAACAGAAGTTATGAATAAAATATAGATTTTGTATTATTCTGAGTGATAAAATAAAGCTGTAAACATTAGACTGGAAGCACAGTATGTCTAGACTTAGCCTATTTTTAATCCTCCTCTAACTTCAGTCTGTTGAAAGACAAATACCATGTGAGAATAAAACTCTACTTACCGTGAGGTTTTCCATCCCTGAAGACAAAACAACTCAATTTTGAAGCAGTGGTCCTACAGTGAAAAAACTATCACATTCTCTGGAGACATGAAAAAACATGTACTGTATATATATTTATATTTTGAGCTTCAAAGATGAAGATGAGAAATATCGGTATAGATCCCACAAGTAGCTCCAATCAGAGGACTGAGCACTAAAGTGTCCTGCGATCATGTGCAACCAGCTGACTGCATGAAACCAGCGCCAACAAACTCAATAACACACTTCAGTCCCCTATGGGGCAAAGCCAATTAAAATTCAAAGTGTTTCATGCTTGGCCGGGTCCAAACCTTACTGTTACTGCATTCAAACAGGAATTAACTCTGGTCTCCCCATTGGAAACAGTGCCACGGTACAATTAAGATAGCTGTTACTGAACAGGCAGCAGCTGTCATCATTTTCCCCCAGAGGAGCTGGAACGACTTCTCAGCAGTGAGAAAAACAAGATGCTGCAAGTAAAAGATTTACTGATTATTTTCACCTCCTCTCTTTTCTTGTAGTTCACTTTGTGGTCCATTCTGTCCACTTATTAAAATTAGACATTTTTTATTTTGGTCTTGTTCTTTCATCTTGCTTTGAACTTTTCAATCTTTGAGAAGCTTTGCAGATATATATGGCTCTAGAGTCGTGTCATTTCAGCCGGACTGTGTGTGTGTGTGTGTGTGTGTGTGTGTGTGTGTGTTGTCGTCGTCGTTCATAATCGTCTCTGTATTAAAACCACAGAAAGTCAAATAATCATGTGAAGGTAAGAACGAGCGTCAGACTCAGGTGTGATCCGGTGACGTCAGCTGGTCTGTGTGAAGATCATGTGACCTCATGAGATCGTCTGTATCGTTTGTGACCTGATGACCTGAGTCCAGGAGACGTGTCCTCACTGAGATCTCGATGTATCACATCCACAATTTTCTATATTACTGCACATGACTGAGTTTTCATCAGTTGATTCAATCAAACAATTACAAAGGATATAAGTTCATGACGTTACTGTTGTTACTGTTGTGCTGTAGTTCTCAGATTGTAACTCAGTGGTCAGATCCGTCCACTCTGATTTGACATTCATTCTTGTAGCAGCAGTGGTTCTCATGATTCAGTGGAAACCGACGAGCGTCGCGGAAAACATGAATCGATTATGTTCTGTCGCTGCATCGATGCAAATCGTCCACGTCCGCATCTCAATGCATCTAAGAATTTCCACACCTCTAGTTTTCTCTCTGCAAACCAACAGAACCAGGTTCAGTTTGATCCAGACCCAGAACTCTTCTCCTGGTCTGAGGAACCGTTCACACCTGATGTTCAGCTTCAGACTGAACTGACGAGTCTGAAGCTCTGAAACAAACGAGGTGTGAACGAGTTTAGTCGGAGACAAGAAACGACAGAAACTCACAAAGACGAGCAGAGGAGGGGGTGGAAGACTGTTGGGGGGGTCTGTTGTTGATCCCAGATTAGGGCGTGGCCTTTGCACAGATTATACACACACACACACACACACACACACACACACNGTTTTACTGGATATTTATCAATGTGACCGATATGAAAATGTTGTTTTCTGGTGTGATACATTAGAGTTCCTAAAATGGATCTTATGGTCATTTTAGCTTTGCTGTGATTTTGTGAAACTGATTACTGGACAACAGGTCATGACAAGACTGACATTTTCTGTGTACATATTTCTACATGCTTTTTTCCAGGTTCACATAAAGGTCACTGTGACCTTTACCGTTGACAACTGAAACATAACGTATCTTTGAGTCAAAGTGAAAACTAATCAAAGGTTTAAGAAATTCCAAACCAAAATCCAACAACCAAAATCAAGTCAGTTAATCCTTGACTCCAAATGTGAAAGGATTCCTTAACGACGTTTCAAAGATATCACCTTCACAAGGCAAAAAATGTGCTTTGTGTGGTCACCATGACCGTTTACCATCAAAATCTAATCAGTCTATTCTTGTGTCCAAGTTAATATTTGTAACAGATTTGAGGAAATTCCCTCTAGGCATTCTTGAGATATTGCGTTCAGGAGAATGGGACAGACAGACAGACGGACAAACCTGAAAACAAAATGCCTCCAGCCACTGGCTGTCGCCGTCAAATAAAAAAATCAATCAAACCCAAGGATTTCAAACAAAGCTCTAATCGTGTCCTCTGTGAGGAGCTGGAGAGGAACATAAAATACTTCGACAGATAACAATTAGATGAATCCAACAATACTGTCGCGTGATGAGAGAAAATACAAACCAAAATAAAAACCAGATAACAGCTAAATGTTTCTTACACGGTAAATATCTCTGAACTGGCTTTCTTTGGGTGCTAGTTTCTTCATCATTACAAAATTAAAAGTCATAGAAACTGACGCCTGTTCGTGAAGAAGTACAAAAACAAAATATTTTTATGCAAATATTTATGTAAAGGAACTACTTCAATGAAGTACAATATAAACACATTCAATTTACAAAATCTCTGGGAGTTGACATTTAAGTCTTATTTGATCACAGAGTCCACATTTATATGAAATATGTTGTGTTAATTAATCACTGTACTTTTTTCCCTCTTTTTCACAACCCTTCAATTTCCATTTCCAACATTTAAATTAACTAACATACGTGACTGCAAACAAACATTTCATTTGATGTATTGTGTAATTTTACTACCCATTATTAAAGCTAAATCTATAAAACTATATGCAACACAAGAGAAAAATGGCCTGCAACCTGCCTTAAAACTAATATAGAGCATAATAATGAATTTTGTTCGCAAATTATGTATGTGTGATTTTCTCTGAAGTGATAATTGTTTGATCACATGCATATTTCCAGATTTTTAATTTTAAAAAATCACTAAAAAAGTGTAACTGCTGAATTTAAAGACATATTAATTTTCCTCTGAGGCAGAAGTTTACTCCTTTTTGAGGAGAGTAATCATGATCATTCAAACACCTGAAATGTCGCGTTGTGATTAAAACTATTGAAATACTAACATTTTAAGTGAATCTCAAACGTCTTAAGGGTGGTAGGAAAAAGCCAGCAATGGGTGAGAACATGTCACTGTGAAAACAGTGATTTCTTGCAACATCAATTTTAAAACCAAACACACTCAAACAAGTCAAACTCAAATGAAATCCATCGACGTCAATCATTATTTAGTAAAAACACTCATTTGAAGCATCAACAGCAACAAAGGAGAGCGAGCAGGAGGAGAAAGACTCTATATTCACATGTACCTCCTCAAACACAAAGTTAAATACTAAAACTAAAGTCCATTGCTAAATGTACTAATGTTTCACTTTGCGTGTGAACAAAGTGTCGTGTTCACGCTGTGACAAACAGTGCAGGTCAGTTCAGTAGGTTGTAGAGTTACTCCTTCCTTGTTTCTGCGTCCTCCTTCAGCTTCTGCTCCTGCATACGACTTCGAGCGGAGCCTACATTTTAAAAAAGAAACAGAGGAACATACATCAACTAATTTTACAAACAGTAAAAATACATGTTGAGAATACAGTAGTTGTTACTTACTCATCTCTGCAAGCTTCTGTATCAGTGTAGAATCTCCACCAGATTTGCTGTAAATTGAAATATATGAAGTGAGCTCCATTCATCAATTTTAGTTGTTTGCTAAACAAAGTGTAATAATATGGATTTAGTCTCTAAAGTAGCAGTGTGATCCATTCTCAATGAAACTGAGGCTCTTTCCTCGTACTCTTTGCTTTCCTCGTACTCTTTGCTTGGTTGTAATAAATATTATGTTCATGTGTTGAGTCACTTTGATAAATAATGATAATAAAATAGTGAAGTAAATAAATCAGGTCGCCAGTGTAACCAACCTGCCGTCAGCTTCATCTTGTCCGTCGACGTCGAACCGTAGCCTCTTCAGAGGCTTTGGAGCGGAGCTGAGATCCAGAGTCCTCTTAAAGGAGCGATCGCTGCTGTTGACCATCTGGTTGATCTTCTGGAACCGACTGGTTTGCTGCAGACGAACAAACGAAAACATAAAGAGAAGTGTCAGTGAATAAAAGATCAGACATGTTTCTTTAACATGTGAGAGAGCAAACAAAAGGGTTACCTACCCCAAAAGATTCGCCGATCGATACCAGCATTCTGTAAAAGTGAAATGAAAAGATTAGTAATGTAAGTGCAGGGGCTATTTTTTTAAAATCTATTTAAAGGATCAAGCTGCTCGACAAGTGTCAAACTGCTGTGAATGTAAAGAGCTGACCTGGAGCGAGGAGTCATGATACCCGGGGACATGCGTGGGTTTTTCAGTGGGGAGATGTACACGTTGTTGCTGCCCGGCACACGCAGAGGGGAATTAGGGAACTTGTAGGGACTGCGTGGTATTTGTGGGATAGGAGAGAGGGTAGGCGGCTAGAAAAAATCAAAACAGCAACAATGAGAGGGTATCGTCGATATATACATTCTCAGCATCTGATCTGTGCATGCTTCAAGATAAACTGTAGCTCCTGATGGGGAAGACGTCTCACCCTGGTGGACGCATACTGCAGGATGTTGGTTTTCAACCTCTGCATGAACACTTGATTGTAGAAGACTATGATGGAGTCATAGTGGCCCTCAGTGATCAACACATGCTTAAAGGTCTGCAACCCAGAGCAAGAGGAAGAGATGTGAAACAAACTATTTTATATTTTAATTCAACATGAGGCATGACAACAAAAACTGTGATGATTGAATGGTTAAGTCACCTCCTGGTTGGTGTTGGGCAAGTTCTTGTAAGCCGTGACAATGGTCTTGAAGCGCAGATCCACACTCTTCACTTTACATATGGCATACATGGCTGACATCATCAGCTGTAGGAACAACACGGAGCAGTTTGAGAAGAAACAAAAACATGTGGAGAGATGCTGAGAAAACAAGAGCGCAAAGAGAAACAGTAGGAGAAACAAAAGAGATAGAACTGAGAGCAGCATCTCGTCAGGTTACCTGGTCGAGGTGACGGTCCCTCATCAGCTCGTACTCATGCTGCAGTGTGTGCTGGAAAAGTGTCCACATGATGGGCTCCAGTTCAGGGTGGGAGGAGAGCAGGTAGGAGCAGAGTATCTTCAGCCTCGTGTAGGCAAGACGGTACACTGCAGAGAGGGGAGAACCTGGAGGATTACTGCACTGAATAAAACCAATACCACAAACATTTGATGTCATTGTGTAATACTTTCAAATACAAATTCTTATTATTCTTATTATGTTTTTCATGTTCACACAGGGGGGTGATGGTGTTAAGACCAGAGGTGGGAAGCCTCCACAAAACAATTTTAAACATCTCGTGTTTTTGTGAAGAAAATAACAATAGCAGATTAACATGTCCTATGTGGTGATCGCTTCTAGCTGTGTGACCGTCAGGTCATGGTCAGGGTGAATGAAAAACATGTGTAGCTGTGGCATGTGATCGCTGACTGGAATCACGACTGACAGTAGATGTGGAATGCTGCACTTTCCAAAAGAGGTGGAAAGACTTTTTGGTTGAAGTAAAGAAGGAGTCTACGTGGTCACTGTGATGAAAATATCCAATATGCTACTAAGTACTACTGGCACTGGACAAAGTTAAACTGCATTTTCTTACTCTGCCAGAAAAAAGACAAAACATGTGAATATGCCAGTAGGTTGAGCAATTCTCCTTTAGGCATTTTGAGACAGGTTTTCTAACATGAAAAGTAAACAAAAAGAATTTTAGATATCTGTTAAGCTGTTTTTTAATAAAGGCTTTGTACTTGAAAGCCTACAACATTCACATTCACAAACCCACTCCTGGTTTAGACTTTTTTGTCTGCACATTTTTATGATACAGAATTTATCCAAACATTATCTTGAGAAAATGAATGTCTTGTTGGAAACACTGCACATCTTAACCAAGATTTATCTGCACTGATCAAAAATAAGAAGGTATGAACTTGATATCTTACATTTTTTATAGAAAAGGCTGAGAGAGTTGGACTTGGAGTGTCGTGGGATCTGAGTAGGTGGCTGGGTTGGCGCGTGAGAGGAAGCATGAGAGTTGACCGTGCCTGGAGACTCAGGAGGCAAGACACGATGGCCCGGACGCACAGGGGACAGATATCTGCGAGAAAAGTCATTGTCGTAAACTAGCAAAGTAAATGTGAAACGAGGGGTTTGAGAATAACATTGGGCTCATTATGAATATACGTCATGGACATTTTTCTTTTTATCAAGATGTCAATCTTGACTCACAGGTCAGCTGCGGTGTGGTTGTGCTGCAGTGGTTGGTTGAAACTGGCTGGGGTCTCCACCTGTTCTGCTGCTCCGCTGTCATGCTCCTGTTTCAGCAGGTCAAATAGCGGGGAGCCCTGAAGAGACACAAACACGATGATTACATTTAACTACACGTGAATAGAAACATATAAACTGCTTACTGGACAATGTAAGGAGTAAACCTTGGAACGAAGAGAAAAACCTACTGATGGCTGAAATGAAGGAAAGTTGAAAATAAACTTTTACAGATGGAAACACCTTCATCTTCACTTGAGGAGCCATCAAAACCTTGCAAATACGAAAAATCGATTAAAATGTCTTATATATTTATCATTAAATTTTAGCTATTCTTAATCCCATTTTACATTTTATATGACTTATGATATTTTCACAGTTACAATTATTAGAAATAATTTTAAAAGTAATTTTCAGTTTCCCAAAGCCCATAAAATCTTTAAAGTTTGGTTTTGTCCCACTAACAATCCAACACCCCAATCTGTTCAATTTACAATGATGCAAAAAAGAGACAAGCAGCAAATCCCCACGTTAGAAGAGTGAGTTTGGCATTTCTTTCCTTTAAATTTCACCCAAACAATTTGTTAATTGCGTGGATTTCAATCCCCTAATTGTTTCAGCTCTTGCAGTCTTACTGACAAAGTGGGACCACAGGACACAGGGATGTTAATCTATTGAGAAAGAATTTAAATTAAAATATGAATTTAAATCGATGTTTAAAAAATGATGAAAAATACTAATGGACTGTTGACCAGATGACATATCCTATCAGATCATATATCACGGAGAGAAAAATCTGAAATGAGATCATACACGGAAGTGGGTGTAGCTAGTACTCAGCAATTTCAACAGTGAGTGCAGGTACAGACCTGCTCTTAGAACATTCTTCATGTCACAGCTGCCACACCCGTCTGACGCAACTGACACACAAAAAGTATGCTTGCCATTGGTTTGAATCAACAGCATTCATTGACGTGTTAACTATAAACTCACGTTTAATGTAGAGTATCTAGATTTAGCTGGATATTTGAAAAGCCCATGATTTAAGTTTGTAATTGAAAACAGGAACATTGAATATGGTGAGCAACACACATTTCTAATAAAGTCTCCTTATTCAAACAGTTCCATGCAGTAACAAAGCTGCGATGGGAGGACTTTGCTCCCAGTGGAGGCTCCTCCCTCTATGTTTCAACAGTCCAATGAGTTTGAGCCTTTCACTTGCAGCCTGCTCTGAAGTTTTAGATTTATAGTCCGACAGGAGCAGAGTAACAATTACCATGCCCCCCCCCCCCTACAGAGGGCTGCTGCAGTAACAGACAGAAGAGCGAGAGAGGAGGAGATCCACTCGACTGTTCGCAGAGTTGAAAAGACACATGATACTTCTCTCAGAAAGGATAAAACATTCGGAATGTGGACGCAGCTGAAAGCTCAACTTAAATGAGGAATATTAGTTGTGGACAGCTTTGGATACAGACAGGTATTTTCCGGAGTTGCTGTCTCCTTTTCTTTTCTGTATTTCTTGACATAAAAACACATGGTAATGTCACAATTCGATTCTAGCTATTCCTGCCTGTTGCACACAGTTGGATAAACAAGTTCAGCTTCGATTTTTTGGACGCTCCGGCACATGACTGAGGAGGACGCCTTCACTCCGTACACGTTCCAGACTCACCAGTTAAAGATGCAAAATAGCATGAACTGCAATAAGAGCGATGACTTTAAATACCCTCTGTACAGCTCGGTTTTCAGCCTGGTTTTTGTAATTGGACTAATTCTCAACATGGTGGCTGTATATATTTTTGGCTGTACATTGAAGCTGCGAAATGAGACCACGACATACATGATAAACCTTGTGGTTTCAGACTCTCTCTTTGTTCTCAGCTTGCCTTTTCGGATCGTTTACTTCATTAAACGTGAATGGTTATTTGGAAGTGTGCTCTGCAAGATCTCGGTGGCTGTATTTTACACCAACATGTATGGCAGCATCCTCTTCCTCACCTGCATCAGTGTTGACCGCTTCCTGGCCATAGTGCACCCATTTCGGTCACAGGCTATCCGCACTAAGAGAAATGCCAAACTGGCCTGCTGTGTGGTGTGGGTGATGATTCTTTCTGGGAGTATACCCACAGGGTTTCTTTTGGACACCACTTCACCCAAAAATGCCAACTCCTCCTTCTGCTTTGAAAACTACTCCAAAAAACAGTGGAAGGCTGAGCTGTCCAAGGTGGTGGTGTTAATTGAGACTGTGGGCTTCATCATCCCGTTGATGGTCAATGTGTTCTGCTCGGTCATGGTGCTGCGGACACTAAGGAAACCGCAAACCATTAGCCGTGGGGGGAACCTCAACAAGACCAAAATCCTGAGGATGATCCTTGTGCATCTGCTCTTCTTCTGCTTCTGCTTCATCCCCTACAATATCAATCTCATCTTCTACGCCCTGGTGCGCTCCAATATCCTGAAGGGATGCTATGCAGAATATGTGGTCAGAGCTATCAACCCTATAGCTCTGTGCATAGCAGTGACCAACTGCTGCTTTGACCCAGTCATTTACTACTTCACTTCTGAGACCATTCAGAGCTCCATCAGACGCAAGACCACAGTGTGGTACAACGGGACTCGGCTATTCGACCGACTGCAGATGGACAGCCCGCAAAGCAGCCCAATCTCCACACCAAAAAGCCTGACGCTGAGGAGTCTCAGGTCAAAAACGTTTGTCAGTGAGTCAACAGTCTAATGAAGACTCAATTATGTGACATGATAAATAATTCAGGTGAAACTCAAAGGACATGGGTGGAAACAGAGTGGCCTCAAAGATTGTAACAACACAAACAACTGTTTCTAAGGAGTCACTCTCTGACCCTGGACACCAAAGAGAGTTGGACTTGGACTCATGACACTGAGACAAGTCAGACAGCAGAGTGTGTTGCGGCATAAATACTGTTTAACTCATTTACAATTCCCAACATATTTGTGAGAAAACGAGTTGTAAGAAGAATGTGTAAAGACACTGTACTTGTCCTGTAATTCCTTAGCTCAGATTTTAATGTTGGAAAATTCTTAAGCAATGCTGAACCAGTATTTCTTTTTTTCCTTTTATATGAGCTGTGCTGCGGAGTTTAAGTATTTGTGGCCTCAGCAAGGCTTTTAAGCACTTTAAATAGCAGTATGTTCAGAAAGAGCATGTATCCATTATACTGAAAGAAAATAAACAGTTATTAACTTATATATTTGAAGTTTTAAATTGACTACTTGTGAAATGTCTGCATTAGGTTTCAGATGTGTGTATGTCTCATTGGGTGCTACCAGTCTATCACGAATCAATTAATCAGACAGGTATGAACAACACAGCAACACGTACTCTAGTTGGCCAATACCATGACTGCACAATGACTCAATGATTTTAAATACAGATTACAGGTAGGGTTCAATGATTGACAGGCAATGCTGCACTAAAACAGCCCTATCTGGATAACTGGGACTTTCTGTAGAGAATGTGGAAAGGATAAAAACGAGGAAAAGAAAAATTCAGAATAAGCAACGCTAACTAATAATGAAAACACAGCTCACAGTGGTGGAATGGTATATGGTTTGGCTTGAATGCAGCTTGTTTCTTCTTGTGAAAGTTGTGAGCTGCAAGACTCAGCACTACTGCATTCCTTTTGAGAGTGTTGCCCTGAGGGTCTGCACTGACATGGGTAGTCTCATCACTACGCACGAGTGACAAAGATTGAGAAACCAAGCGAGCAACAACATGCCTCCTGAAAGAGAAGAACCTTTACAGAGAACAGTACAGAGGTAATGGATGAAATCATGAGTCAGGTCACTGGTGACTGCTGCAGATCACTGAGATAAATAAAGGATTTTGTAATTTCTAAAGGGACAGATCACCGAAAAATGAAAATTCATTATCTATTTACCACTATGCCGATGGAGGGGCGGGTGCGCGTTTGTGCGGCTACATCCGCTAGCTTCGCTACTTCTGGTAGTGGACTTTTAAGCTAAAAACATGGTGTATATTACCTTGTTTCGAGTCGAATTTGAATACCGGGGCTTGCGGAAACTTGGATGACACCAGAATCAGAAATACTTTATTGATCCCAGGGGGAAATTGTGTAACGATCAGTATGAAGGCAGTTTATGTTTTATCTCTTGTTCTATTACGTCTGAAGTAGAGGTCGCCTTCGCTGAAACACTGTTTACCCTTGAAACTCCTAAAGTGTAAACTCTATCGACATAGTGGTGAGTAGATAATTAGTGAATTTTCATTTTTAGGTGAACGAATCCTTTAAGTTTTACTTTGCCATGTTTGGATGCCTTACACTACTACACTTCATGCAAACTTCACAATGCAAATGGACCTTCTCCACCCAGAACAATATTTGTACTAGATAAAAATATCTGACCCAAGGCCCCATGCCTTATTATTTTTAAGAATATATTAATATTACATTATAAATATGAATGATTCTGATTACTGATTAATGTTATTTGCATGTAGGGTTTATTAAACAGTAAAAACAAAACTATAAATCATTTTTTGTGATTAACATTGTTAATAACATTGTTAATAAACAAGTTTGTTTTTTCCAGCACAGGAGAATAAATCTAACCAGCTATTTTGCAGACAAGACGTTTTGTATATTTCACATATTTTTATCTCATTCAGATTTGTGTAACGTGGTGTGTAAAGTGGTGTATGGCTTATTCATCCTTTGTGCCATAGTAACTCATAATCTGATTCAAAATATTGAAATACACTGGTTTAATTACAGCTAAATGTAAATGGTTAAGTTTGGTTGTCTTATTGTAAAGTGTACAGAAACTATGATTTGGACAATAGGTGCAAAGACTAATTTATTTCTGACATATGGAATCAAACCGTCTGTCTCTGGTTGCTACACTACTGTGATTATTGCACCTTCTTTTAGTGATTTATTACTTAGTCCAACATTGGACCAATATAGTTAATTATCAACTCTTCTGGTAGGTTTCTAACAAGTGCCCATAAACATGAAGGTAATGAAACTGTATGTGTGTAATTGTAAGACTGATTACAAAATGTGAGAAAACTAGTTCAAATCTGTCAATCATCATCCAATCTAAATGTCTATACAAGTGTTTAGAACTTTTGATGCTTACTAAATAATTTCACTAAGTGAGCTAAAAACTGTGCATGTGCACATATATGCATGTGTGTGGAGAGAGAGTGGGCGACAGATGGGGGAAAGGGAGAGAGTGTGTCTTTTCCAGTCAGTGGCATTTGTCCAGTTGCATCCTAACAAGTTATCCTGCTGCAGAACACCAGCTAACAGGAAAACTATCCTACTGTCACTGCACCAATGCGATCCTGATATTGGTAAGTGATAAAAGTTTTTCTCAACATATACAGCATATAATGGATTAAGTTTAAGTAATTAATATTATTATTATAGTCATTATTCTTAAGATAAAGATGTAATGTAATTAATTCTTGATCACATTAAGCAGAATTTAAAAGTTACTTTTCAGACAGTGAGGGTGAAAACAGCTACTGTATAATTATTTAGTGATCAGACCGCCAAACTAACTAAAGTACTATTTAATACAAATAGCTTCTTTTATTTTTTATTTTATTTTTTATTTTTACAGAATCTGAATGAAATGACTTATATGAAAGAATGCCTGACTGAATGTAGGTCTGGTCTTAAATAATGTTATGGAGACGGAACAAATGCTAATTAAAATGATAACAGAGATATTTAGTTATTTTGTTTATATTTTTTAAAATATATTTCAATTGTATTTCTTAAATTCAACATCAAATATACAGAATCATGATATAACTTATATTAAGAATAAACTGAGTCAGTGGTAACGATTCAATTCGAACAGTGTTGTCCTTTTTGCAAATTCATTAAATGTATAATGAAGTTTTTTTCTTTTTTCCACGCTCTGCATGTAATGAAACCAAATGTTTGCTTGTTTTATGGGAGCAGGAAGTAGCAGTTAAAATTTTATTGACAGTATTCGTTCCAACTGTCCTGCACATCAAACATTAATTCAGCTGCGTCTGCTGTAGTGGTGCATTCACCACTGCATCCTTATATCCCATAAAATGGGGGACATTTTGAGTTTATTTAGCTTTTATTGCTACAGCAGATGCTACTGAACATGCTCCTAACTTGAGTTTATGTTCACATCAGATATGAGAGCGACACAATGACCTAAAGTTCGGAGGCAGAAAATAATTTTCGGACATGGACCAGTGGAATATGAGCGATGCTCCAGTCAAGTCATTCTCACCTTTGTCTAACTGCACCATGGACACCAGCTACCGCTTTACTTTCTACCAAGTGTCCTACAGTGTCATCTTCCTGCTGGGGTTGGCCACCAACAGCCTGGCTCTGCGCAGACTCTGTCTATCACCCTTCACCATCAACAGCACAGCCATCTACATGGTCAGCCTGTCAACTGCCGACTTGTTTTTTGTCATCTCCCTTCCTCTGAGAATCTACTACTATTACCATAAGGCTCAAGCCTTGTCCTCCATCACAGGAGACCTGTCCAGCTGGACTCCCGGGGCGGCATACTGCCATTTTACTTTTACCCTCAAATACATCAGCCTGTACGGGGGCATCTTCTTCCTGGTGTGCATTGCTGTGGACCGTTACTTTGCTGTGGTGCACCCTCTTGCACCATCAGTCCGCAGGCTGCGTGTTGCGCAGCTGGTAAGTGGGGGGATCTGGTGCCTAGTGCTGGGGCTAAGTGTGAGTCTGTCTCTGCTGCGATCTGCAGCTGCTCACCAACACCAGCCCTGTCTGTTGGACCCGACCTCTCAGCACCACCGCACCATCATACTGGCGGTCCTCTGCATAGTGCTGGGCTTATTTCTGCTTCCCACTGTGCTGCTTCTCTACAGTTACTGCAGAGTGCTGAGCGTGCTGAGCCACCCAAGACACCGCTCTCGTAGTCAGCACCACAGCCGCAAACACACTCTCACAGTCATTTACTGGGTTCTGGCCATCTTTCTCTTGTGCTTCCTCCCTTATCACATCAACCTGCTGGTATACACACTCACTCATTTAGGGCTGCTGTCCCATTGTGGCCTGGCCAAAGTGACCAAGGCTGTGCACCCTGTGATGCTGTCACTAGCCAGCTCAAACTGCTGCCTTAACCCACTCATCTACTATTTCTCCAGCAGCCTGGTGCACAGGGAGACGCCTGGTGGTGGGGGCAGTGGCAGTCTGTGACATAGATCGTTTCAAGCACTGAAAATTACAATTTTAAAAAAGCACAAGGGTTGTTTGATTGAAATGATTTACGCAAGTTACCGGTACTTAATCTATTTACATAAAGTATTCAGTTCCTCATACTGTGTCCACTAGTTTGTAGTAGATGACAACACAAAATAGGTTATCAGCATTTAGCATGTATTGCAATAGATTTAACAAGTTTTGTGTGTCACTCTGGAGCAGGTTCCAGAGGATCTGGTTCAGTGCCATACTAAAATGTATTGTCAGCTGTGGTTAGCTGAGTCATTTTTCTCTGTTTATTTTGTTTATGCAACTTTGATGTGTTTGGGAGATATTTGGACTCTGCCTGTGATTTGTCATCATTATTCATATGGTTTATATGTTGATCTTTTAAGTTCTTTTAAATGTGCCAATAAATGCCATATACAGTATCTTTATCTTAATCTTGTGTTATAAGGAAATCTTACAAATACAATTATACTGTGTAATGAAGTGAAAAAACTCACTGTTCTCCATGCAATCCTCTCCATGATGAGGTTCTCGCAAGTCTCCAGATGTTTGACAATATCTTTGCTCAGTGTGGGGTAGGCCTTGATGAAGCTCTCGATAACTTTGTAGAAGTCAAAGGCGGCGAGGTTAAACACATCCAGTATCCAGGGGAAACAAACATCTGTCCCAGCTGAGTCCCCACCGCCATGGTTGTATCCTCCAGCCTTAAAACAGCTCTCTGAACATGAGGAGCAAACAACATAAACACCACTTGTCACAAATCTACAAGATATTTAAACATTGATTTGTATTATTCATTAATGTAAGATATAACACAACTATTTAGGAAATAGTTTGCATTGGTGTCTCCTATTTATTTGGAAGCAAATTACGTAACCCACCTCCATATGCTGCCATGACCACCTCCAAAGCACAGGCCAAAAGTGATGTGTGGAATGTGGAGTCATTGAGGAGTTTACTGGAATGGAAATCATATGACTCTGCTCAAGGCAAATAATACTCGACTACACATCAGACAACAAAAGGATTCAATATAAATACAGCTAAAGAATAAGTGACTACACACCAACATTGACCGGATTTATAATTCTCTTTTAAATTATAAAAAAACATACCTGAAATTTTGCACAGACAGTCGCTTCTCTTCCTACAGAGAGAAAATAAAAGTTTTATTAAAAAAACAAAATGAACAAGTTATTTTACACTTTCATATGTTGAGTAAACAGGTGTGAAAACTTCTGCTCTAAAGTCTACACTTCCTTCTTGTTTACAGACGTCATTTTCTCTCTATTATATTTCTGAGTAAACAGAAGTAATGAGGTCATGAAAAGTGAAAGAACATATTGGAAAATGTTACGCATTTGATAATATCTTCAAAATTCAATAGATTAATATATCGTGTTCTGAGAAATGCTGAATTAGAATTTTCTTGAGCCTCTGAATAAAAACATTAACAATAAAAATACTGAATAAAATGGTTGAAAGATAAATCAAATAAGTCACTGTACCGATTTCAACATTGCCTCCATGACTTTATAATACAGTCGTACTCCGAGGGTAAATCGCTGAAAAGACAAAAGAGCATTGCAAGTTGAACATTTCAATCATTTCAGCATGTGGCCAAATTTCTAGCTCAGCGTTAGTTCATACCTGCTTTCCAAGTACGATACAGCGCGGGCCGACTGCCTGACCAAAACTTTCACTAAACGCCTGATTGAATGTCTCCAAACGCTTCAGCATGTCTTGTGTCGGGTCAACGGTACAATTCTGACAACAGGTGAGAAGAATATAGGATATATGTCAAATTTAGGTGGCGAGATGCAGCTTCAAGGTATATTTAATTTAGGTGAAACACTTGCGGGGACCCACTTTGAAATATGTAAACAGGTTAGTAGATGGCTGGTCCCCAGTAGAGAGGAGATCACTCCTCAACTGTTGAATGGAGGTCATGGCAGCTCTGACAAGACAAAACAAAAATCAGACAGCGTTAAAGGACAAAGTCAATAAACCCAATTTGTTGATTTATAAACACATTCAATATACATTAACGTTGCTTTTTACATCTCCCAAATATATTGAGATATAGTTTAATATTTTCAAACCAAATTTGATTACATTATGATGGTTAATGTGTGAAAAACTCCATTCTGAATTTGGAGTGCTCATGCATCATTTCCATGCAGTTACACCTGGTGCTCACTTTGTAGGAAGGTGGTTCTGCTTTGATACCAATGGAAACCAAATACAAAGGAAAAGTGTATTAGTCCATATAAAATTGGCAAAATTTACTTGTTAATTGTGTTAATATGGGATTTGATTTATTCATCGGTGATGCATGTACTTTTTTCCCACACTAACAGTTTTCCCAACAGTTTACATGATATGATGCAAGCACAGCTTCAGTCCTTCTCCTCCAAGTAAACAATAACTAACACAGAGAAGAGCAGGTGAGTGACTGCTAACTGCTCACCTGATTGGAGTCTGTGGAGGGATGAGTACAGCCTCTTCATCTGCCAGGTTTTTCTTTGGTGTCATCTCCACCTGTGATCTGGAAGCAGCAGGAGCAGTTAATTAAGCACTTTACTCTAAATTCTATGAACTGATCTGCAAGATCAATATCAAATAATTAAATAGTGAAGAAAAGAAAATTACACTTCAACTTTAGGCAAAAGAACAGTCTCGTCTCTGTCAAAAAACAGTCGTCCATCGATGTCTCTCGTCTTGAGGTAGTGTTCTTCATATTGTTGATTCAGGTCATTCACCTGGGGGTGAAAATTAAAGGTTGAGGTTACATGCAGGTAAATGGCTTCCCATAAAAAATATAAACACCATCCCTGTGTTTCACTTGTGCCCAACAGAGTGAGTTTTGTCAATTTAATGCTACATTTAACAAGGCACCAAATCCAAAAGAGCTAAATACTCTCACTATAATAAAGATTTAAAAAACAAACAACTCTGAAATAAGGTAAAGATTCAGTTTGTTTACAACTAGTTGAGGAAAACAGACCAAGAGTAATAAAACAATCTGGGCCAAAAACAGTCTTTACGTTTTATTTCCAGTTACCCAGACCCGTCATGGATGAGATTAAATAAGGTGGAACTTGCACATTATTCAAATAAGGCACTTCTGTATATTATATGCACCACCAGTCCGTTGCTGGGGTAATGGGACAGTAAAATAAATATGTCCATTGTCCTTCGGAGGAGTGTCAGTGTCTGCAAACAGTAGCATCCTGTCTCTGTTGTCAGAACTGTCTCTGCGATATACAACCCTGACACACTACAAAGGGTCCACCTGCTTGAGTCCACATATTCCTGACACCATGTATGTGAAATCAAACATGTGAGAGCCACCAACAGCTGTCACACACTCAAATGCCCAACAACAGCAACCGTAATCATTAAGAGGTCACTAATGGAAACAGTAAGTGCAAATTGAGCAAAGTGAAATCAAACAGTGGAGCAGGTGTTGTCACAATCACCCACTTTACCTGAGGAAAATCTGGAGATCTTGAAAGATCCAGTGAGTCCAGGAAAGCCGAGAAACTGGTCTGGTAAACATTCTTCACCTGGAAAAAGTCATAGAGACGAAAAGTGAGGCCAGAAAACAACACACAGGAGGAGGTAGAAATGTGTATATGATGAATATTTGAACTGAGAAAAGAGGAGTGTTCAGACCTCCTCTGCATTGCATTCATTCTCATTGCACAAGGTTTCAAGAAGCTGCACATCCATCTCTGGCTCAGGAGGTCGGGATTTGACTTTGCTCTGGTTACGACGAGATGTTCGTGTTGGGGGGCTCTGGAGTTTACTGATGGCTGATTCTGAGAGAAAAAGATGTAAAACATTAGTACATCTATGGTAGCCATAAACAATGAATCTCTTCATGAAACAGAATATCTGAAGTTGCAATTCGGTTTTCCACTGCCCATGGCTGGGAAACTTGACTGACAGATCTACTAAGATAATCATAGATAAAAATAGATAATAATGGATTTTCAGATATGACCTCTGGGAAAAACCTGCAGTTTGTCTTTCACACATGCTCAACGCAGCAGGAGAACTTCTGCACAGAGGGTTCACATGAGCAACAAATACTCTGCATTATTCAGTCGAGAGGTGGAGCACCCGGGTGCAGCAGGCAGAGGCCGGAAGTGACGTATTAACTCCGCTGCAGGGATCATGTGATCATTTTTACAGCCGACCAAATCTGTCGTCAGCTCTTTTTACCACAAACTAGCTTGAAATCTTTGTCTGTGTCTTTTGCGTGTGTCACCTCTCATTCACAGGGAGATATTGGTTTTGTTTTTGTTTTCATTTGTGCGTTTGTGGCGTGTTAGAAGCCTCATCAACCCCCCACTTGCTTGTGGTAAATCCAGTGGGTTATCCCCTGCTGTGTTCACACATCGACTTCCCCTGGATTTCTACAGACTTTGTACTATAAGGTCAGGCGGATAAAGTCCGTAGAAACTGCAGAAAGTCTCACTCGGACATTTGCGTTCACACATGCACCTACTCTGGAGAAAATACGGAGGATCTGCGGAGTTCAGTTCATGTCTGAAAGCAGCTATACATTATAAACAAACTACTATACGA